AACTATTTCAGTTCCTATTAAGTGTTGAGTTTGAGTAGATAAGATAGCAAATTTTTACTTGAGAATCCGGAAAGGTATTCTATATTTAGAGTATAATGTGACCAGTGTTATACCGAACACAATAAGTCTCTGTCTAGTGAGTATTAACTATTACTAACCAGGGTACACGAGCAATTCCAATTGTTAAAGCTCAGTTCTCAGGAATATAATATCTGTGAGATAGGAAGTTGTGACGTTTCGATCTTCGAGTTAGCCTAGAAGTAGAAAAGTTACAATAACTCTGATGTGACCCTCTATATTTGTCAATTTCGGTTCAGAGATATTTCGAATTACATATTGTTTGATCATGTTCTACTATTTTGGAACGAAAAGCAAATACATGAATTGAAATTGTTGCAAGTGCATTAAAGGAAAGTGATTATGAAATAATAATAATACAAAAATTGAAGTAGAACACTACACCATAACAACATGCAGCTCAATTTGGGGTTCAATTGGAATTCGTCCTACCAAAACACGGCTTACCTTTTAGTCGACGTCACAATTGGTAATAATCAATAATCGCATGAAATGTTTCAAATAGTAAAAGAAATCGCGGTTCTAATAAAATAAAAACTGCGCATCTTCCAAATAGTTCTTATAATCAAAATAAGCAAAACAAAACTGCAATTAATCAAATTATTACGTCTTTAAATTATCACTGCTCTTCAGCAATGGTTTTAACATTCAACAAACTACTTACTAAAATGTTGATCAAGAAGATGAAAAGTCAATAGCAGTAGAAAAACACAAAGCTGTCCTAACAGTTCTAAGTCAAAACTCATCTCACCCTTCCATAATCACCCTTCCAATCTTTACAGAGTTGACCAACTTATAGTCTCTCCTCTATCACTTGACTCACTGTAATGTAGGTCGCCTCCGCTTCATACTGTCCCGTACCTTCGACACCATTATTCCTATTTTGAGCTGCATTCCTAAACGTCACCACATCATCTCCTCTCTCATTCCTCACAAAGGATACGTCAGCGTATGTTGGTTCTTCCTCAGTTTCAGGACTGTAGATCCCGTTAGAAGTTCCTTCGTGTCTGTCTAGGCGAGCGTATTTATCTCCTTTATCTACAGTTGCGTAGACAGGCTGGGATTGGATTGTAGAGTAGAGAGCGTCTTGGTCAGCTCCAATCTGGGGATGTTGCTTTCTGTTTCCTTGTTCCTGTCTGTTTATCCGGCTATAAACATCTCCTGTTTCCTCCGAGGAATGAGCAGCTTGATTATTCACTGTGGGGTGAATTGCTTCCTGGTATTGATTCCTTTGAGTATTATCAGTTTCTCCTCCTATCAGTATCTCTTCTGCGACGTTTTTATTTCTGTCTTTTCTCACTTTTAGAATGATGCAAGTCAAGAGTAGAATGAGAAACAGCCCTACACCACCCCCTGCAGCCCCTATCAAGGGAATGTTCAAGTTCTGATTTGGTCTCCGACAGTCATGCTCAGAAACTGTTGTGTTGTCAACACAGAGTTTGGTTCCATTTTCCAAGCAACTGTAATGCTCCATATCTGGCTTGCAATAGGCTGTGCAATCCCCATAGTAGTTTTTTATGCACCTATCACAATTTCTTCCTTCTTTGTTTCTGTTTTGACACTCATCACAGTCTTCTCCTGTCTTTCCCTCCGCACACTTCTTGTCTCCTGTAGTTTGGTTACAGGTATAGTTACCTTGTTCTGGTTCACAGTTAGTTTCACATAACTGTGGTGGGTAGAAGTGTTCCCTGCATATCCTCTCTCCTGTAGTATTATTACAAGTGTAGTTATCTGGTACCAGCTCACAATGTTTGTTACATTTCTGTGCTGGGTAGAAGTGGTCCCTGCATATCTTCTCTCCTGATTCCCCACAAGTGTAGCTAGCAGTTTCTTCACATAATGTGGAACAATCATCTCCGTAGTGGTTAGCGACACAGTCCTCACAATTAGGTCCTTCCCTATTTACCAGGCACTCTTTACTTCCCTGGTTAGTGCAGGTGTATTTGTCTAGATCTGGGAGACAGTGCACATTACACGTCCCCTCAGGGTAGTAATTATCAGAACATGACTGACAACTCTCTCCTCTGAAGCCTGTGATGCAGGTATCACAGTTATCTCCTGATCTCCTATCTACACAAACCTTGCTCCCTGTCGTGGGATGACACGTGTAGTAACCAGGCTCAGGTTTACAGGATTTACCACACTCTGTTCCGTAGTAGTTAGCTACGCAGGAGTTACAGCCTAATCCAGTGAAGTGGTTATCACAGCTCAATATCCTATATTTTATCCAAAGAGTTGCTTCTTTGTCGTCACCCTCAGCGCTAGTGTCACTTACAAAGGATTTCCACGACCAGGGTCCACCTGATCTAATGGCAATGCCTGAAAATGGTACGACCAAATCCGACATTGTTCTTTCATAATCATCAGCACCCGTGTCTTCATCCCACACTTCAAATGATATCGTTATACTCCTACCAGTGTGGATGTTTACTGAAATAACTTCATCAAGCTGCTCCACGTTAGAGAAATAGACCGGATCAGTGTCCCAACTTGTACTTGTTTCTGCTACTCTGAGAAACTCGATACCATCCTCATCCTTGATTACGACGTTCTTGAAGTAAAAGTCACACTCGTCTCCGCAGTATGTAGAGTCTGTATACGAAACAAGTTTTATCTCTCCCTTACCACTGCAGTCTATATTCTCCTGGTGGGGTAACAAATAATAGTATGGTGTTCTGTTGTGTCCAATAATTATAGTATTAAAACTTAAAAGGTTTCGCTGAAGAAGTGAATGATTAATATTTTAATTTATTACGACATTTCTTAAGATAATGCTCCCTCTTATCTTTAAACTGAAGTTCGATTAAAACAAACACAACAACTATATCGCATATTTAATCATAGTCTTACTATTAAAAAAACTTACCGTTAACAGAAGTAGCTGAAAAACCAGAAACACAAGTTTCATCCCAATCTCCAGAAGATTGAACGTATTATATACAGTGATCAAACCAGTTAATGTAACGTAACGAAGACGGAATGAGAAATCTGTACCCTACCTTACCGTGTATAAGTTCTGGTTACCGGTAGTTTTGTACGTTGAGTAGCTCACTGTTCTTGTTATAACGAGTAATACTGCAGAGGTAGAAGTAACCTTGAGCTTGTTGAGCTGTTTTATTTCACTGCCAAGTTGAACAGAGAGGTGTGTAAAGAATAAGCCAAGTGTAGGAAGGGCATAATTTATTTTTTAACCCGCTGATGATTGTGTATTGCTATTAAATTTTAAGTTACCGAGCAGATCTTAAAATAATGGGTAGAACATTGTTATTAGCAATCCAAAAGGTGGAAACTCGGAATGGAGCTGCCCAGCATTCTGAGTTCCTAATACATCGGGGTTTTAGTAGCGCTTTTTATTGTAAGAATTCGGAAACCCTATCCATCACTGGTTCAGGTTGATATATAAAGTGTGCTCCAAGTAAAATGTACATATATAGATGAAGATCTTCACTTCACATCATTTTTCGAAAAGTTTCAGGAGATTTAAAACGGATAAAATCTTATCACATTTTAAAAAGGGTTCTATTTAGCGTATATATATATTATAATTACAATAAAAACAACGATTCATAGCATGGTACCCTTCGAGGTGTGACTGTGTTCAGTGTTGGATTGCGGATTTGAAAATCATAGCAAGTAGTGAGAAGAATTATCACAAAATACTAAATGACAGCTTGAAAATCACTTACCGTCAAGAGAAGCAACTTTGTAAGTAGAAATATCAGCTTCATTATCTTTCAATCATTCAACGAAATTCAAATAAAGCGTTCTCAAAATGCTAAGCAAAACTGAATTTACTTGTAGGCAAAACTGAAAGTTATTCCCTATGTTGCAATCTGTTACAGTCGGTAGTCATGCAATGACGGTTTTGTATCTTTAGTAGCAGATATGATTTTCTTTATTGCAGTTCTGCGTATAGGCAAGTGGTACATGGTACAACATCTATATCTTTATCTATAGGTATAACTTATCGTTCACGAAATAATATATAACTGTTAGCTAATTGTTGTACGTTCATCATCGACAGTTTTAACATCGCTGTCAAAAACGGGAATTTGGGTGAATGAAAGTATAGTTTAATAGCAAGATACTTTATTCATTAAAGATACGAAATGGTAGATGGACATCAGTCATCACCCTATCATGGACTTAAGCTGCTACATTCAGTAGCATTCAGTAGTAGCTATTTCAGTTCCTATTAAGTGTTGAGTTTGAGTAGATAGCACTTTTTCTCTTGAGAATCCGGAAAGGTATTCTATATTTAGAGTATAATGTGAACAGTGTACCGAACACAATAAGTCTAGTGAGTATTAACAAAACAGGGACGAGCAATATTCCAATTGTTAAAGCTCAGTTCTCAGGAATATAATATCTGTGAGATAGGAAGTTGTGACGTTTCGATCTTCGAGTTAGCCTAGAAGTAGAAAAGTTACAATAACTCTGATGTGACCCTCTATATTTGTCAATTTCGGTTCAGAGATATTTCGAATTACATATTGTTTGATCATGTTCTACTATTTTGGAACAAAAAGCAAATGCATGAATTGAAATTGTTGAAAGTGCATTAAATGAAAGTGATTATGAAATAATGATAATACAAAAATTGAAGTAGAACACTACACTATAACAACACGAAGCTCAATTTGGGGTTCAATTGGAATAATTAGTAATAATCAATAATCGCATGAAATTTTTCAAATAGTAAAAGAAATCGCATCTTCCAAATAGTTTTAATCATCAAAATTAGCAAAAAAACTGGTAATTAATCAAATTATTAGGTCTATTTAAATAATATCACTGCTCTTCAGCAATGGTTTCAACGTTCAACAAACTACTTATAACAGTAAAAACACAACTGTTCTAACAGTTCTAAGTTAAAACTCATCTCACACTTATTATAGTTATATTAATTGCCCATAATCGCCCTTCAAATCTTCACAGAGTTGACCCACTTATAGTCTCTCCTCTATCACTTGACTCACTGTAATGTAGGTCGCCTCCTCTCCATTCTGTCCTGTACCTTCAACACCATTATCCCCATTTTGAGCTCTGTTCCTAAATGTCACCGCACCATATCTCTCATTCCTCACAAAGGATACGTCAGCGTATGTTGGTTCTTCTCCAGTTTCAGGACTGTAGGTCCCATTAGACTTTCCCTCGTGTCTGTCTAGGCGAGCGTATTTATCTCCTTTATCTATAGTTGCGTAGACAGGCTGGGATTGCATTGTCGAGTAGAGAGCGTCTTGGTTTTGGTCAGGTCCAATCTGGGGATGTTGCTTTCCTTGTTCCTGTCTGTTTATCCGGCTATAAACATCTCCTGTTTCCTCCGAGGAATGAGCAGCTTGATTATTCACTGTGGGGTGAATTGCTTCCTGGTATTGGTTCCTTTGAGTATTATCAGTTTCTCCTCCTATCAGTATCTCTTCTGCGACGTTTTTATTTCTGTCTTTTCTCACTTTTAGAATTATGCAAGTCAAAAGTAGAATGATAAACAGCCCTACACAACCCCCTGCTGCCCCTATCAAGGGAATGTTTAAGATATGATTTGGTATCCGACAGTCATGCTCAGCAACTGTTGTGTTGTCAACACAGATTTTGGTTCCATTTTCCAAGCAATTGTAATGCTCACTATCTGGCTTGCAATAGACTGTGCAATCCCCGTAGTAGTTTTTTATGCATTTATCACAATTTCCTCCTTCTTTGTTTTTGTTTAAACATTCATCACAGTCTTCTCCTTCCTTTCCCTCCAGACAGATCTTTTCTCCTGTTACCTGGTTACAAGTGTAGTTACCTGGTACCAGCTCACAGTGTCTGTTACACTTCTGTGCTGGGTAGTAGTTTTCCTTACACTCTTTCTCTCCTGATTCATCACAGCTGAAGCTAGACGTCTCATGGCAGGTCTTGGAACAATCTTCTCCATAGTGGTTTGCGACACAGTCCTCGCAGTCAGATCCAGTCCTGTATTGCAGACACTGTTTTTCCCCTTCATAGGTACAAATGTATCTTTCAGAGTTTGGGATGCAGAGGATGTTACATGATTCTGTCGGGTAGTAATTCTGAACACATCTCTCACAATTGTTTCCCTCGAAATGGTCTACACAATCATCGCATTCAATTCCCGCTCTCTTTCCTTCACAAACCTTGCTCCCTGTCGTGGGATGACACGTGTAGTGACCTGACACAGGTTTACAGTATTTACCACACTCTGTTCCATAGTAGTTATCTACGCAGGAGTTACAGCCTAATCCAGTGAAGCGGTTATCGCAGCTCAATATCCTATATTTTATCTTAAGAGTTGCTTCTTTGTCTTGACCCTCGGCGTTAGTGTTACTTACAAAGGATTTAAACTCCCAGGTTCCACCTGATCTAATGGCAATGTCTGAAAATAGCACCACCAAACCCGACATTGTTCTTTCATGATCATCAGAATTACCAATACCCGTGTCTTTATCCCAAGCTTCAAATGATATAGTTATACTATTACTCCTACCAGTGTTGATGTCAACTGGAATAGCTTTATCAAGCTTATTCACTTTAGAGAAATAGACCCTATCGGTGTTACCAGTGTCATCTGTTTTTGCTACGTCGAGAAATTTGTTACCATCCTCATCCTGAATTACGACGTTCTTGAAGTAAAAGTCACAATCTTCTCCGCAGTTTGTATAGTCTATATACGAAACAAGTTGTATCTCCCCTTTTCCACTGCAGTCTATATTCTCCTGGTGGGGTAACAAATAATAGTATGGTGTTCTGTTGTGTCCAATAATTATAGTATTAAAAGGTTTCGCTGAAGAAGTATACGAAGTGAATGATTGATATTTAATTTCGACAAAATTCTCCCTCTTATCTCTAAAGTCTAAACTGAAGTTCGATTAAAACAAACACAAAAACTATAGCGCATATTTAATCATAGTCTTACTATTAAAAAGACTTACCGTTAACAGAAGTAGCTGAAAAACCAGAAACACAAGTTTCATCCCAATCTCCAGAAGATTGAACGTATTATATACAGTGATCAAACCAAGTAACGTAACGAAGACGGAGTGAGAAATCTGTACCCTACCTTACCGTATATAAGTTCTGGTTACCTGTAGTTTTGTACGTTGAGTAGCTCACTGTTCGTGTTATAACGACAAACGAGTAATACTGCAGAGGTAGAAGTAACCTTGACCTTGTTGAGCTGTTTTATATTTGACTGCCAAGTTGAACAGAGAGCGAGGTATGTTAAAAGAATAAGCCAAGTGTACTGTGTAGGAAGGACATAATTCATTTTTTAACCCGCTGATGATTTTGCATTGCTACTAAATTTTAAATTACTGGGCAGATCTTAAAATAATTGGTCGAACATTGTCATTAGCAATCCAAAAGGCGGAAACTCGGAATTGAGCTGCCCAGCATTCTGAGTTCCTAATATGTAATACAGGGGTTTTAGTAGCGCTTTTTATTGTAAGAATTCGGAAACTCAATCTATGGCCTGGTTGATATATAAAGTGTGCTCCAAGATTATATAGATCTTCACTTCACATAATTTTTCGAAAAGTTTCAGGAGATTTAAAACGGATAAAATCTTATCGCATTTTAAAAGGGGTTTATCGTATATAATTATATATATTATAGTATAGACTATAGTAGTGCAATGCTTGGATTTTGCAAGTTTATTTTTACTAGCACTTTATTTAATATTGCTATTATGTATTTATAGTGCTACTTTATAATTTTGGATTATATCGGTTATTTCAGATTACGAATACATAGCAATTAGCAGAGATATTGAATTATAATTATATTGTATAATTACATTTATGTAATCAATAATGATCATGATCATAAATATCCGTCAAACGAAAAATGCTTTTGCCCTATATTATAGTATAATAATATTTATATGTACAATTATATAAGATACATAAGGATTTTAATGGCTGATACTCTTAAAAGATTTGTTCCAAATACCGTTGACGGGTACGCTACTCGGCGTGCGTTTTGGTATACATTATAAATCTACAATCAAGGATATGAAATTACTGGGCGGCGCTCAGCCAGCAGCCTGTCATTGCATTCCGCCAAATCTCTATTCGCCAAATCTCTATTCGATGATTATGATCAAAAATATAATAACCTGAGGTCCCGCCAGGTAACTTGCCTTAACATTTAACCAGAGCCCTCTCGCTTGCAGTAGCGCGCGACCGCCGAAACAAGCGCGTCACGCAGTACGCGTAGACACATGGCTAAGTGAACCAGGTAACTGCAGAAAATGATTCCAAATTTAAGCAAAATATAAAACGTTTTTAGCAATTTTTTGTATTTTTATCCGTGGAAATCTTGGAATAATAATTTAATTTTAATGCCATCATGTGCGGCTGTCTTTCAGTGCAGTGCCTAGCTATCTTTATATTTGATATTGCTAATTTTGTTGACCATTGTTAATAGTTTGGCCGGCCGGCGCGCGCTACTTCGAAAAATTTAGACTCGAGTAACCTCCGTCAAAAATTTTGCTGATATGATATAATAATGATATGCCATTAATTAATTTGCTCAAAAGTTCAAAAAACTATGTTTTTTACGAGTATCACCCGTTAACGATCACGTCTAGTGTGAGTTTACATAATTTAATATTAGATTATGTAAACTCACACTACGTGATCGTTAACGGGTGATACTCGTAAAAAATTTGTTTCAAATATATTCATTTCAGGATCACCGTCGACGAGTCCAACTCGGCGCGCGTCCTGGTAGGTTATAAACATACAACGTGATCGACACAGTTTTTCGTTGTCATACATGTTATATGACCCGCCGCACACTCGTGCACAGCTCCTTCGACCTTCACATAGCCATGTGTATACGCGTATAACTGCGTGACGCGCTTGTTTCACAAGTAGGTCGCGCGCTATTGCAAGCGAGAAGGCTCTGGTTATATATTAGAGCAACGCAGCTCCCCCTGCATCGTAGAAACGATAAAACTAAAACTTAGTGAAACGACATTGGAGTCAACTTATGTCATATGTTATGTGGGGTGATTTTAAATCATTGTTCAAAATTGTAGGGCGATGCACTATTGGGTCGCGCGCGCATCCAATAATGCTTCTCGCAACCACAGATCGGCGAAATGCGAATAGAAGGAATAACATCGTGAATCAACGTTCAAAAATATATCGATCCAAGTACTTGGTTTCAACTTTACCTGGCACGCCAGTCTCTGTGCGCGGCGCTTTCTTCAAGCTACCCAAATTGCTCTAACCAGAGCCCTCTCGCTTGCAGTAGCGCGCGACCGCCGGAGGCACATGGCTATGTGAACTACCCAAATTAAAAAGGAGAGTGAAAGGAGCGAGCAATAACAATGAACAATGAACAAATAAATGTCCAAATGTCCAAATCTAATCGCCACTAGTTTCAACTGTCGGGGGCCTTTTGAGAAAAATCTCGAATTTGAGTGTAAAATGATTAATATTAAGACGCTCGAAACAATTTAAGTTAAAAACAATTTCAATAATATTTACAAATGTTTTCATGTTGGAACAATTAAGAAATGTTAAATCATGCTAGTTTTTAGTCAAAAAACAAATCGGATTTGTAAAGTTCAATTTTATAAAAGGTCCTATGATAGCATTATGCACTGGCCAGTATTTGAGTGGAAATCTTCGCTCTTATAGTAAGCTGTATATCATTATTATTCGTTCACAAAGAGAATTGAATGGATTGCTCTTGCTGTGGCGGTAAATTTGGTAGGGTCTAGAGTTTTATTGAACATTGGATAGTATAAGAAACCGGCTCGGTTAGTTATATTTTTGCAATAGATTATAGAAGTTAAATTTTTCCCTAACTGAGGAGTGAACGGTCAATTAAAACATGATTTTCGTCCTCAATAGGCTTAAGCCCCTTGTCGAAAAAGCAGTAAGTGCACCATCAATCTTCTCTTGGTACTAGGGGGTTTCGTATCGGCCCCTCTCAATGTACAGGTTTTGGCAGCTAATACGAAACCTTGTTAGGCTTTTTCGAGCATCGGGGATCTTGACCACTCGTAAATATGTTTCTGGTTCTAAGTCATGTTTAATTTGATTGTAGAATTCTAATTTTGGCGAAGATGCCTTGGCAGTTTTCCAGGTATCCACAAATTCGTCCCTCATGTTGCGACTGATTTGGGTAGAGAACTTAGATTTTGAATATGATGAGTGGGGGAAGTTATATTTGGTGAGAAGATTGGAGATGTTGGTATACCAAGGAACTAGTGAGGCCAAGCATAATCTGCTCATGAAATGCATCGGAGAGTAGTTCGTTTTCAGTGCTTTCAAGGCGACTATAGAAATCTGTTGCAAGTTTGCAGGCTTAAAATAAAAATGGGTGAACAAAAAAAAAGTAAATAAGTCACGGTTGCACTATATCTATTACTAGCTAATACTGCATACACAAAATTTAAAATTGCTCAGTTCATTTTTTGTTACTAGGCGGCGCTCAGCTTGTCATTTCGCCGCAGCTTTATAATCATAATAGCCTGGGGTCCCCAGGTAAATTTTTTGTTGTTGTCTACACTTATGTAAGATCAGCCTGCACTGCTCACAAAAAACATAAGCAGTTGAAGCCTCCACATTGTACCTTATATCATGGTGATGAGCTATAGTGTATTAAACACTTTGTTAGGTTTATCCAATCCCACACACTCTAGCTCCCTTTGTTTTTATACAATTTTCTTCATTTTCATTTGGTGAATAATGAACATGTTTTTAGATTAAAACATTTAAGTTAACCCATGATATTTGTAAAATATTTGTTCCAAATATTAAGACTGCGACGAGTCCAAATCGGCGTGTGTCTTGGTAGGTTATAAACCTACAACATTTAAGCACATTTAATGGATTGTTTGTGGAAAGCTTGAATCCCGAATCTTTTGAAACAATAAAACAAATTGCAAAACTAGAGGAGTGATGCTGTTCACAAGCAGTCAATCCCTCAAAAGTGTAAATAAATAAATGTGAATTTGTAAAGGATGCACATGGTTATTTCCAAGAATGGAGTAACATAATAATAATAATAAATTAGCCCCGAGCTAGAGAGTAGTGGGTCCGAGGCTGACACTCATGGTCAGCGCTCAGCAACCCCGGGGTTGGTAACAGCAGCAGTCCTATGGATGGCTGCCGGTAAGAGCTACTCAATCAGTCAATCCCCTGGTATTGCCGGATGTCTTCTCCCTAAGGTCCAGATATAATACAAAGTTTAAACATAATTACATTTTGTTATTTTCTCATCATTTCTGAACTTGGAAAAAGTATTTTTACATGTTATTTAAAAATACAAAAAGTCTCCTAAAATCTGTTGTCATAAGCTAAACTTTTATATCATCTGTTTACAAACAGAATGATGTTGATATATGGCATGATTCAATTTCGAAAAACTCTTTGAAATTCTGTTATACAGATGTTGTTTTTTCATTTGATTAAATCACACACTTAATCTGATTAATTTGTCTCTAAGACTCGACAGGGTAACTAGAACTTAGCATGAGAGTTTAGGCCAAGGAATGTTATTTGTAGTATTTCATCCAATAACTTAACCCTTGTAAACCATGAAAAATATTGAACCTGATTATTAGTATTCCTTTATTTAAAATTATATAACGTTTTGTACCATGAACATTGAACATGAAGGTCAACATCATTAATCATAGATGTTATTGCACAGAAATTCTTAAACTAATAATTTTTCTGCCTAAGTCTTGTTCTGACATCAAATGAGCATTTTTAAATTGAATTTGTCTAACCTATTTAGCTTGGTAGTAAACCTACAGTGACGTGTCAACTTTCAAACCTGGACTATTTACCGTTTATAAATTTAAAATAGATTTTGTTCGTCTACATGGAAGCCTTTATAACGTGATTGCCGATTTGTTTACTGGTTGGTATGTTTACTATCACTTATTGCTTGATTAGGTTAACATCTGGTGTGGGTGTTAAACGGGAAAATACAAATTTATTTGT